ACTTTGCTACTAAAGAAACACATTACACAATCATGTAAGACTGTAAATGCTTGCTTCCCATCAGCAAGCTTTTCATTTCTGATTCTCAAGTTCAGGCCAAAAGGGGAATTTTTCAATCAGCAGAGAATGGGTTTGACACCTTTGATTTAGTGCACCTTAACTACATCTTCAAGGTCAGAGAATTGAAGAGTAATAAAAAAAAAAAAAAAAAAAAAAAGCTGAGAAAGTTACTTGGAAAAAAATATATATAAAAGGCTTTTCAATCTTTTAAACACTCAAATAATTTTGTCCAACTGCAGTAACGACTGCCATTTTTTTCATCTCATTTTGAACACACCTTTAAAACAAACCACAACAATGAACAAAGCTTCCTGTATCCATTTCCTGCTATGAAGCATTCTAATTCTTTGAAATAAATATGTTTTGGGTTATTTTTGTAAGAGTAATGTTTAATATCAGTCTCCTAGTGTGCAAACGTGTAGAATACACCAAAGATTTAACATCTGCTAAAAATAATCATACACAGGATCTCAAGTTCTCTATTTTAAGATTATTAGGATATTTTACAGGTGTCCAAATTATTAAAATATGGTTTAAATTCAACACTTGTGCATTTTCATAACATGTATTGGATTTTAAAGTCTGGAAGCCACATGTCAACACTAGGAAACACAAGGCTGGCTTGCTCAAAGTTCAAACTCTGAAGGGCCACTTTCAAAACATTATAGACTTACTACTCAGCATCACAGCTGTAGTAGCAAGCTGCTCTGCAGAAACACTTAGCAGCACCCTCTAAGTAGAGGTGACGTAAAGCTAAGAAAAGCTACTTTACTTTCAAACAATTGACCGTTTCTACGAGCATTACTTTTCTCTACATTGATCAAGTCAAGACCTTCACCAACTGATCTTAATTTTAACGTCTAACTTGAAATGCATGCTGCAAGTGTAATGCAGAATGAAAACTGAAGCCATACATATCCTAACAACTGCTCCTGGTCCTGTTGCTTTGTTCATAAAATACTGCAAAAGCTAAATGGCAGAAAGTTGAATAAATGTAATAATAAAGAACCCTATGTACTCATACTGAGTAAGACTCAGTATTCATTCCCATTTTGAGTGAGCTGTTTCTTAATGAAGGAACAAGAAATATGGCTGTGCATACATTTCTCACTTTTAATCTCATAATTCTCATTTTTATTTAAGCTTCTGTGGCTGTTCTGTTCTGTGATATGAGACATATCGCCATCATCTTAGTTTACCCCTGGTAAGTGGAGCTAACATTTATTTACAATTAGTAGAGGAGTGCTATTTCTCTCTTAACAATAGCAAAACCTGGACCTACGTTTTGGGGGCAGTGGATAATCACTTCTCAGTTTAGCCAAGGTTGCAGCAGAACCTCTTGCCTGATGCACTGAAGGGGTGCAGAACTCGGGAGATCTTGCCAGAGAGTTGACATCCTGGCTGGGAGGAAGAACATGATTCACACCAGCATGTGCAACAAGAAAACCCACTTCGGCAGCTTGTGGTTTTACTGGGCCATCCTGAAGAGCACAGAAAGTGTTTTTTAGTGCAGGAACTTTTGCACCTTATTTCAGGAGAAGCATTAGATACTTTGCTCTGGGGAATAAGAATCATCATACTCAATTCTCTCTGTCCCATGGTGCAAGAACTGCATGCCGTTACCACAAGAAGCACCCTACAGGATTTTCTGACCTGCCTCTGCCTAAGATTTCAGCTAGCCATGGGCCCACCTGTTGTGAGCCATTCCATTTACAAATGTTTTATTTTCCAGCATATATTATTTTGAACATGCTTGGGGTTACCAAATCAGTTGCTGAACTCTTGCTGCTTGAAGTAGAATAACTTCAGACACAGCTGAACCTGAAGCAGCACTGAGTCGAAAACAGTCTTAGAATTGAACCAAAATAAAATTTGATCTGTATCACTGATTTGGGAAAGTATGTTGAGACAGATTTTTTTTTAAGACAATTATTAATTAAAAAGTTTAATGAAAGACTAAAGTTTTTCATTACACAAGCCTTAGAAAGCATTGCCCCCAAGAATGAGCAACACAAAGCTAAAAAGACTGCAGTTTTGCTTATCCGACTTCTCAGTCACCTACTGGCCTGAGTAATGTGACTAATGTAAAGTGACTAATAGGATCACTGTCCAGTAAGACACATAACAGAGTACTCACAATTTTAAATTTCAGAAAAAAAAAAACAAACTTTAAATGAAAATCATGCTAGACAAACTTGCATCATCTACAGTTTCTTCATTTGCCATGTTAGGCAAATCATACTTGATTTTTACTACAAAGGTCTCTTCAATAAGCATTGTAGAAGATGAAGTTCATGTTCAAAAAGATACAAAATGCACTTAGTTATACTTTGCTGGTATAAGGCTACATATTAAAAAAATCAAAGTGAATTATTTTTCATTAAAAAAAATTACTAAATTTATATAATTGTCAAAGTAAATATTCCTCACATACACTCTCAAACAGCTCATAGCGAAGTGGAAGAGCATCAAAAAGTAAAAATTGTAAGGGAAGGTGCTGAGCTGTCTTTGCTGAATCCATCCTTGCAGAGTGTCTCCTCATACGTGGTACTGCAAGACCCTTTTAAATGGGCTTGCCTCCTGCCACTTTGAAAAACAACAAAACAACTGACAAAGCCACATTGGGCACTCCTAATTCAGGTTGAAGTGTTTTATACCAGCACCTTCATATTAATAAACAAAAGAACTGATTGTTTCTGACAGGATCAACAGGGTCTGTTGAAGTGTTCCCCAGAGTTTAAGCATGGAAATAGCTTGGGTATTTTGCACTTGCTTTCTGTGCTTATGCTGCACTAAAAATACCTTTTTTTTCAAACCAATTTGGAAGTGGATTAAGCTGAACAGCACAAAGGCATTCTTTGTGCCCAGTAAGAATGTTACTCAGAGACCGCAGGGAATAGCTGCTACACCTGAAACTCTATTTTTACTTCACAGCAGTTGTCCCATGAAGACAAACCCTCATTTTATAGGACGATCAGTGCTAAGCTTTTCCCACTGCGCTCTCACTTTTCCCATGCTGCCTTTCTCTGTTCTAACACAATCTTCCAAATACAACCCTTCCACCCAAAGTTTTATTTTTTGTAGGCCTATTCATTTGCTGTTCATCTGTTCAGCAATCAAACTGCTGCCCTCAATGATCATAACACATTCCCCTGTTGGTTAACTCCCTATGAAGCAGCAGACCGGCTGTAAAGTCTACAGAGCTGATGGAAAAAAAGACAGCTTTGGTTTCAGTAGACTGTGAAATAGCTCTTCCCTTGAAGGGATGCAACTCCAAATCAGACCTGGCAGAAGAATTCAGTATCAATCCTGAACATAAGAACTAGCATATGAAAGCGCTCTGTAATCCTCCGGGTGAAACACAGGGAAAGAATCCATGTCCGTTTTGGCAAATGCTTCTGTTACGAAATTGCCCTTTTAAGGCACAATATCATTCTTACAAAACACGCGCTACTTTAGAGCAACTACCCAAGCGAGCAAGTAACATGCTATACAAAGAACATTTAAACATTTGGTTTTTGAAGTCAAGAAACCTGAGACTATAGCCTGCCGTTCAGTCTTTAACTTGCTTATACATACATATTGTACCTGGTTTGAGTTTATGGTGTTCTCACCTCACCGAAGGCCTCTACCTCTTTGAGTACACAGGATGCATGATGTTACTGAAGCAAAACCAGTGCTTAGTGTTTTATCCTTTTTCATTGTTTCCCATAGCATTTATTGTACAGACTTCAAGTACTTTCGCTCATAAACTTTTCTAACAACATCTCAGTGTTTCCCATAAAGTAAGAAAGTCTTACCTCAAAACTCTGATCTCACTCCACTAGCCAGAGTCTCCCATTCACGTGGGTTGCTGTTGTGTGCAGCAGCTGGCAAAACTTTCAGTCTAAAATGTTTAAAGAAAAATAATTGCGGATCTGATGGCACTGAAAAATCTCAGGAGTCTCTCATGTCTTCATTTCAGTCTTTGTTTAGATTTTTCAATGTTTTAAACTAGAATTTCAGAACATTTAAAAAGGAGAGAAAATTTGATGTCGAACAAAATGCCTGTCTTTTTTAAGCTTTTTCATTACCTGCAATCTTCAAATTTTCAAATTTCATTACAATTCTTTTCCTACTTTCAGCACCCCAATCCAGCTTCGTTCTTACAGCTCATCTTGTGAATGCTCAACATGTCAGCAAGCCAGGTCCTAGGTACCTCAGGTTGTTTATCCACGAAATATAGAGTTAGTAACTGCATGTCAAATGGTCATTTACACAGCTTGCTTAGCATTACAAAGGAAATTCTTGTCTGACGTTGAGGCAGAAACAAATTTCTCCTTGGCCTTGTCTGTTTTCAACCTCAGACCTTTTCTTTGCAGCACTTCCTTGTCTCACGTTATCACCTCCTCTAACACAAAGGACAAATGAAGCAGGGTTCTGATTCTGAGCCTCCTCCACGTTGTTTTAACTGGGCATTGCCCTTTAGCAAGGCAGTTTTATGTGAGGAAAAAAGCACTTAATGCTGTAGTTCGAAATACAAACGTCTTCAAGCTTTGGGTAGGGACTGAATTAAAGTTTGCAAAGGCAGACTTCCAGGATTTTCCTGAATTTTGCCTAGTTGGCTTCACAATTTTTTTTAAATCTATTTTTGGCACAGAAATTGTAAAATTACATGTCATGACAGGTTCTTCCTCTGAAGTTTTAGCAGCACAGCACAGATTGCAGGGTTGGGGTGTAAGGTATCTGCTGCCAGAGTAAGAAAGCTGTAGTCTACAGAGACTTAAATTGCTTGCTAGAGCCATGCAGTAAGATAAGGAGACTTTCACATAGGAAGGGGGAGGAGATGTGTGTCACCTGCTGGCTTCAAGGATGCGTTCATGAGGAAAAAAAATAAACAAACAAAGAAAGCTCATTTCTACCTCATCTCTGTTGTGCAGTGGAAAGACAGAGGACGTGAACAAAGTTCAGGGAGCACTTTATTGGATATGAGGCAGACAGTCACTGAAAGCAACTTTCAGAACAACGCAAGCACCACCATCTGCTGCTTTGGTCCAACAAGAACATTCGTGCTCACATTTTTCAGTACAATGTGAGCATTTCTGCTGATGTCACACAAGGAGAAGTTTCAAGAACTTGAACTCCGAGTCAAACCCAGAAGGAACATAATGGGATAAAGGAAGACACAGGAACCAAAGCAGGGTTTTTTCAGGCTGCATTTTCAGAAGTCTGCTCCACAGACTGCAAGAATTTTACTACAGGAGAACCATGGCACTGCAGGTAATCACAGTAACTGTAGAGAAAACAAAAGCTCAATAATAGCTACACTGCTGCTTCAGGCATTCAAATGTGTAGGTTTCATAACAAATCCAGAAAAAGTCCCTTCTAAGTATATCCATACAGGCCTGTACTTTACACTTTTGCTCTGAACCGCACAGACATCAGTAAGTTACAAGTCAAGAGCTTTGAGCCTCGTTAAATGCATGACTCCAGGACTTACGAATTAGGACAGGCACATCACCTTCTAGGAAAAGAGAACATGTCTGTCTACCAAATGTCTTCTGCAGCATAACAAAGCAGTTGAGACTTGAGTAAAGACTGTGTCCTTGGTTTGGAAGACAGTACTCTTCAGAGGAAGAGAGCCCAGCAGTATCTGAAAAAATATTGGCAGCAAGAGGCTCCCTGACACGAAAATTTAAAAAGGAAAGTCTTCCAGTGTAATAGTTTGCTCTGTTTGGCTTGGTCATTTGCTTTTAGCCTGATATCTTAAGGAAACAAGGCTTATACAATCACGTTCTGGATATGCAGGAAAGAATCCTCAAGTCACTTGTTCCCCTAAAGCTTTTGAAATCATCAGCCACATTTGACAAAAGAGAGAGAGAGTTTTAAGCATGCATGTTCCTGCAAGTTTTAAAAAATCAGGGAGCTATTAGAAACAAAGAAAACAATATTGCAGGCTCTTTCTTATTAGACACTACAGAACACACACACACACACAAAAATGTGTCAATGTCCAAATATGAGGAAAAACTTCAGTCAGTGATCACCCCTTATTAGATATCTGGGTTTCATTAGTTCCGATGCTTCCAGAGCTACTTGTTTTAAAGCAGAAATATGAGCTATATGGATATGATACATCAAAACATGGAAAAAAATGTAAGGAATTTTAAATGAAAATATCTTCCTTCATTACCGTGTACTACTGTGTACTGGAAAAGGTTGATATTTCAGGTTTTTAGAGCGCAACCCAGCTCACTCTGATGGGAAGAGAGCCTTACTGACTTTATAGTGCACGCGCCCAGACCTATCATAGTTGCATACCATAGGGAACCATTGCATAAAGTTTGACCTGGCTGTAATGTGTACCACAGACGTCTACCCAGATACATGGAATGAACTACTAACTGGAATTCACTTAACAGAAAAACATCACATCCTGATGTGAATATTTCCAGCTATGGAGAGGCTATCACAACCTTCAGCCAAATGTTCCAAAGGCTAATTATTCATGCTTCAAAACATACATCAGTTTTCAATCTTCCTAGTTTCATCGTCCAAATTGCTAGAGAGTTCTGTTTGCTTCTTTTCTTCATAGTGCTTAAGAGTCCTCTCACATCTCAGTATAAACCCAGGTAGTAAAATCAAAGTGCATTTCCATGAATAACTGCTCTGAAATGTTGCAAACTGCATAGGTAATAAAATCAACACCAGAAGTGTATTTACAGTTCCTGCAGGAGCCTCTATATTTTTAATTCAAGATAACGATTTTTCTTGTTAAATTCATCATTCATTATATTTTGAATACGTTTAGCATATAAGCTAGAAAATGGTGCAGCCAACACAGAACTCCCCGAGCAACAGAATTCTCTGATCATGTGTACAAACAGGTTTCAATTAAAATATTTTATGGAAACGGAAAAAAAAAAAATATCTACCCCATATCCTACACTTCATACTTCAACAGTTTGTTCTAAAATACAGTATCACCTAAGGCAACAGTTACTTGCTTAACTCTTAACTTTAATTACATTAACAGAAGTTGAAATCAATATTTGATAAGCAACTCTGTGTCCACATCAATAACATTTCACTACAGTTGAAATTGCCATAGAGTATGCAGTTAAAATTTTCAAAAAACAGAACTTGTAACAGACCTGCTGAAGCTAGTAGATACTTGCTTCAGTGGGCATTGATCAAGCTTACCATTTTCAAACCAGAAGGGATGACAGTTCCATTACAGGAATACATTGTTCAAAAATTTCCACTGCACATCCAGTAGAAGTCAAAATTAAACTAAGTAGAGGACTTTGAAGCTGTTGTCCTTTTTGTCCTAAAGAATAAGCTACATGCAATTTAAAGATCTCCATGCAGTGACAACACCTGTGGTAGTAACAGAATATTTTTAGCATCATATTCTTAAATAAAACGTTGCATTATACAAGGAGTATATAAAAGCTATATCTGCATGACAATCCCAACAAATATTTAAAGTATTGCTGAAATGAGGTCATTAATTTTGAGAGAATATTTTGTAATACTAAAATGTGAACATTTACTTTTCTCTGAAAATGTCACATTCATCCTAAAAAATGCACTATTCCTACTATTGCTAGCAATGAAAAGGATTAAAGCAAATTATAACGAGGATAGAATAATTCAGTCTGCTTGTCACAATTTAAACATATTTGAAGATGTTTTGACCTGTAAAATTAAAATCAGAGGAAATTTTTCATGTGAAGTGGTTAAAATCTCATAGCAAATTTGATTTTAAAATTAGAATAACTTACTCTAACAGACAAGCACTGGCAAATCCAGCTGAAGCAGCTTGTGAGCCTACCACCCAACTTCTGTGGAAAGGGTTTCTGCCACTGTCAAGAGAGCTGACAGCAGGGAATGCCTGCTGATGCGCCTCTAAGGCTCCAGTTCATGGTCTTGCGTATCAGCTAAAACCGCCAACAGAGGTGAGTTTTCAACTAGGCGCTGCAAATGAGAACTGAGGCAGCTCAATGCAGGCACACGTCCCTTCCTGCCATCTATGCAGGCAGTATCATCTAAAACAGTTGTGGCAATTTACTCCGTGAATCCAAGTCAAACCCTTCCACAAAGGCTTGTGCCTTGTAAAGAACTCCACGTTTCTGCCTGCTCTGGTGATTTGTAAAATCAGCTTTCAATTCTTTAGTTGGTGCTAATAAGTCTGCTGAATATATTGACTACACTTCATTCTGAATGATGTATGTATGTGTACATGTACATACATATATACCATATATATGATATATACACATAGAGAAAAAGACAGAGTTTATTTTCTCCATAACAGACAAAGCTTTAAAGAAGACCGAGTATTAAGGCAGCTTTTACCTCTCAAGATAAAGTAAAAAAATAGGTGTCCTCATTAGATATGACTAAACTCCTTAACCGCATTTCCTCTTTTGCAAATAGAAGGTATATAAATATGTCAGTCGATTCAGGAGGGGAAAAAAACAGCTGATTTTCATATTCAGGATATCTTTTGTACACAAAATTGCTCTAGGGGAAAGTCTCCCATCCCATGCAGAAGTAATATACATGTTTGTAATGATGAATTCAAGAGTAACAAAAATAAACGCAAAAGTAAAAATCTGTTAGGATTTATTCCGCGCTTCTAAGGAAATAACTACAATTCCACGATTTCCTCTACAGAAGAAACTGGAGCTCACAAAAACGTAGTCTATGTGATAAATATCCTCTTTATATATAGATATTATTGTGAGTTTCATTGCTTGTCAGTAACTTCTTCAAAATCTTTGTGCTTTCAGAGATATCCTAGTAAAAGGAAGAGATGATCAGTATTAGCCACATGGCTGGTAACAAAAAATTAGCTTCATTTCCTCCCATTCTAATTTTTATTATTGTGAATATCAGCTTGATTAAAATGCTAACTGTGTCAAAACTCACGTCTTATGAACAAAGGTATCCAGAGTACCGCTAAAGGTTCCAAGGGAATCGGCAGTTTAACCACACCCTGCGTTTTTTTATTTGCATTCATCCTCCCTTGCATGGTTATACCCAAGAGAGGAAGAACCTGCATTTTTTTTCCTTCAGAGTTTAAACACTTACGTACTAGCCTGTTAGCCTTATTTAGTAGGCCAGTACAAGCTGTAATGAAAACTAATTTGCAATTCCTATGGTTATAGCTGAAATAAGTATTCCAGTATACACTTGCCTCTCTGTCATTTAAATGGAAGTCCAACTGGCAAAACTGAGGAGAGTATTTTGAAATAGCTTCAGTTAAAAAACATTTCAGAAAGAAGGAAAACATTGACTTCAGGAGCTGGAATGTGATGACTGCAAAGCTATTTGATTAGCACGCAACTGTAAGAATCAACTTTATAAGTTTGCAGTGTTTCAAGTCCCCAAAAAAACCTGCAGATCAAAATTTATTTCTTAAGAAACTTTCAGATATTGCTGAAAACAGGTAGATACAGTGCCAGAACAGAATCATCTTGAGCACGCACATAGAATGTCAAAAAAATAAATATACTTTGACACTTTAAAACAAGACACCGCTAAGGGAAGCTTAAACAAGAAGTTACTCCCCGAAATCCTGCTACAATTTCAAGTGTCTGCAAAGTTAAATTGAAGTTTTGAGGGAAGCTATAGATTCACTATTTCTAAGCAACCTATAAACATATTGAAATAGTTACAGCAGGTACTGTTTCAGAAATCCCTGTCTACACTAAGAACCCTTGCTAATAAAGTTTGCATCTTTCTGCATGTTACATATATTAGTTCTTTTAGTTGGTCTCTTCACAGAGGCACATCAATGGCAGAATGTAACAGAGACGAAAGACAGATCAAGATGACAGAACCTTCCATTAATTTTTAAATACAAAATTTTACCTTGACTAAATTTTTCAGGATTTTAGAAGACAGCAGAGGCTTGAATGCTTCAATTGTAACTGTGTCCAGCTTGATGACATCAGTATAACACTGATACAAAACTGCAGGAATCTGCCATACTTGGCAATAACTCAAAACTAAGTAAAAGTCAAAAAAAAAACCATGTATTAAATTCAGCAGAGAAGAAATCTCAATTCTGCAAGTAAAATCTCATTTTGTTCTGGCCAGAACTTTAAAAAAATTAAAGTTTATAAATTGAGAACTTTATCAAATACTCAGGATCCTGCCCGCAAGTGCAGCATCCCTCATTCTTCCAGGTACACAAGAAACTGAGCTACCAAAAGTATTAAATTATAGCCGGCATTTGTTCCTCGCAAATACCTTAACCAGAAATTACATGATACTGGAAAACAAAAATAAAAGAACTGTTGTTTAAGAAAAAGAAAAAAAAAAGAGACATAAAATTTCAAAACGTAAGAAAGTACATAAAAACGTTCTTTTTCTTGGAAAATTTTCTCCCTTTAGCTCCTGATAGACAAGTTTTTACTCATTGTGCTACTATTATTTTAGTGCCTTGTAATGAAAAGCCTTGGAAGAGTTTTATTATATTATGTAAGAATAAAACTGAATCTAGCTTTTATATCAGGTCCATCAGTCGCACGGTGAAACCTACATCACTCATAGCATACAGAAAGGACTATATGTGCCTCAAGTATGGTGCTCAGATGAAAATAACACTTACTAGGCATTTTGGCATTTTAATTTCTCATTGACTAAATATGTTTCAAACAGCCAATACACAATACACTTCATGAAGATATCCTGCAGAATTTGCTAGTTCTTATGTCCAATATTTAAGGGATAAAAGGAATTTTTTGTCTGTGTTTTTAAATATGTTCGTATTTTACAAGGCAATATATAAGATGTCAAACTGTTAGGAACTAACTTCTGAAAGCTAACTTGCTAGCTAACTCATATAATTAAGTAAATACTCTAATTCTAACGGGATGCTCTTCAAAACATATTTTCTATTGTGAGCAGCAGTAGTCAGCAACATGGTAAATAAGTGAAATTGCAGAATACCAGCAGCAGGAAGATCTCGCACAATGTTAGGTTGTTCCAGCAGCGGGCAGCAGACTGGTTCTTTGAATTCTTTTGTCTTTAAGGCTTTCAGAAAAGGAGATGGAAGTGTTAAGGTGGATTCCTGAGTTTTATAATCAGCTACAGGACATGTTGAAAGAATGGTTACTTGCAAGCCTTCCTTTCTCATACAGCCAAAAACCTGAAACAAAAATGGAGTTCCAACATAAATAAAGTTTATCCTATCACAATAATAGCATAAAAACACATAAAAAGATCAAATTTGAATTTAGGTGCAGACGGCAAAGGGCAGCTTAACTGAAGTTTGCATGACTGACTACAATTGAGTCACAAACTTCAGACAGAAGTTTCACGTGCATTGCATCTGGGATAGAAAGAGAAAGACGACCTCAAGAACAGCTAACACATTTACCAAGTCTTCTGATTCTCGTGAGAGGCTTTTGGTTTTCGGCACTTTCAACTCACCTGCAAATATATTAAAACTTACTATTTTCTGTAATGCTGAAAGTGAGAAGAAAAAGCACTCCATATGAAAAAAGGCCACTTATAACAGGAAGGCAGCTTGCTAAGCTGCAGACATTTTAAACTCATATTTGCTTGTATTGCTCTCCAGACGTCCTACAGAACATTTAAGAAGATTCTTCATTTTAACTACTCAGATTTTTCATTTGATTATATTCGCCTTGAATTGAGAATTGAAAAAGAGAAGCTTAATTTTTCAGTTTTTCTTGAATTCAAAGAGAAGAGTTTCAAAAACTCTGTCAAAACATGGTTTTGGATCCATTGCATACCATCACGGAACATTCAGATGCTGCACAGCCTTCCATTGTTTTTAAAGAACGTCAGTCAAAATGAGCAGGATTATGACAAACATGCATCTTCCTTTGCACAATCCTCTTCAGATTTGTGATCAAAAAGTAAACACAGAATTTGATAAACACTACAGAAACCCACCTGTTTCTGTATATTGTACCAATCACAGAAGAAGAGCTGACTACTCCCTCACACCAGTATGTTATCACTATAACGTAAAACTGACATAACTCTTCAGAAGCACGCATTTTCAAGTTACAGTACATTTACTTTGTTGGAAAAACTGGTTGGGCTGCACTTTGCTTGCAAAATTTTAGCCTGTGTGTTTTCATTTTCTCAGTACCCACCTAGTAAGAAGACAAACGTAGATGTGAAAATCCAACTGAAGACTCTGGTAACACTCAGTAAATTAGAATTTACAAAGTAGGCAGAACAGGTCTGTAACTCACACTCAAAGCAAGATTACCAGCTCAACATCTTTGCCGTACGTTTAAAAATATCAAGAACCATAAAGGCAAAAAATACACAGCAATATTAACCTGGCAAAACTGTACGCTCCTACTACCACTCAGAAACGCACACAATTGAAATAATATATACACACAAATAGCTGGAAAAACAGGAATGCGGACGATGACAGCAGAGCCACCATTAATCTTTCTGTTGTAATCCCAGTTTATATAAAGCACAAGGACATGTGGAATATAGCAAAAACAAAATGCTTAAGGTCATCTTAAGTTTCTAAACTACAAAGTGAACTCCCAGTCCTCACCCTGCAACAAACTGAATTAACTCTTCAACAAGCAAAGGCTACTTTTCCACAAACAAAGGTGTCTCAAGACCCTATATTGCCCAGTCAAGTTACCCCAGCACTTTGTCCTCTCTGCCTTCCCATAATCTTTCTGGTTCCCTCACGCTGTGACCCTGTACGGTTGTCCCTTGCATCCAAGCAGTCCTTCTGATGTGCTGGCTCAGCCAGATGGCAGGTTAGACTGAGCAGATGCCATTTGGTTCAGGCAAAAGAGCTGCTCTCAGTGAATGCACTGCTTTGCATCTCACTCCTCCATCTAGCCACAGATTTATACAACTTCAGCATAACTTAATAGATTTAGCATCTCTGCTTGTTCATCAGATCAGTAAAGAATTAAAGGAAGGAAGGTTGGCAAACCAAGAGCAAAACAGAATAAATAACACTTCTTTGAGGCTAAACAGAATAAAGAAAACCTATAGCCAGATTATCCCCTTGGTTTTATCTTACTAAAATCTACATTAAGAAATTTGGAAAGACGTAAAGACCTAGCAGCATCCATGCACTTGAATGATGCAAGGGCAGCCTATACAGCAAACTGATTATACAAACAAACTGGACAGATAGTGCTTTAGGGGCCACCTTCGTTTAGAATTCCACCTTGCGAAAGAAACTGAGCACGCCTGTCAGTAAAAATACCATCCATCATGAGTTTCAAGACAGGTTTGTTTGGGAATCCTTTGGCAGCTGTACAAATGGAATTATGTTATTATTTTTTAAGGAAGCATTCTCCCAGGATTGAAACGTAGTTGAAGAAAGCCAAAGAGAATTTAAGCCCAACAAGAAAAAGGGCTAGAAAGTAGAAAGTATAACAAAAATAAGACTCTCCAATCAAAATTGTGCAACTGCTCCAATAGTTGCCCAAAGTTGGTGAGTTTCAGGAGATATAACCAGCAGGATCTAGAAAAGAATTTCACAACGTTTGCAGACAGGGTATTTGTTCGTTTGTTTAGTACTTGAGAAGAGAAAGCCCCAGTGAAAACAATTATTTACAGGACCATTTGTTGTCATATCAATTTTACCTTTTCAAGCCACTGGAACTGTTGATCCTCGGCAACATAGCAACTGCACTGGCACAGTAAAACCTGAAAAAAAGAACAAAAAAGATGTGTAAAGAAGTGGTTTAAAGAGCACAATGATAATAGCTCTTAATCACGTGTCAAGATGATGTGATTGCAGCCAACAACTTGCTCAATATTCTTGGATTTGTTCCACCCTATTTCAACAATTTTTGATTCACAGCTGGTGTGAAGCAGTCAGCCCTGTCATACACCTTCTTTACATCAAACTTCATATGCCAGAACTCCAGGCAGTCTTACTGAGTAAATTTGAAAGAAATATGACCCCTCCAATTTTTGATGGGATTAACCCAAAACACTGCAACCTTAATGATTTGTGGCGGGGGAGATCGCTCTTTCTTCACAAAGTTAACACACAGATGAATTCGTGCATAAGTCACTTACTGTCGGGTCTGATATTAACCGATAGAACAAACAAAAAGAATCTGTCGGGAGGACGTTTGTTGTGTTGGATGTTCGACACCATTCGTTCCACAATTTCATAGCTCCAACTACTTCCCAGCATACGGAATCCAGAATAAAAGACGACAGGAAAGCTGCAAAGAACGCGACCGTTAATTTATACAGAAATAAAACATCTGTTCTTCAAATAAATACCTGAACCAAATTAGCTTGTTTTTCTGCAAATTCTTCCTCAAGTTGAGGAGATGTAATAATTACGTATTTTTTTACTGAGCAAATCCAGCAAAAAATCAAGAACGTGAATAACCTCACAGCCCTGAGACTTAGAAGAACAATACCAAAGATACATAAAGATCTCTACCATCAAAAACATGATTAGGAATTATATTGCTAGAGTCAACTTTGATGCATTCAGCATACACTAAGAACAAATGCTACTAAACATTAAACCTCTAATACTTCTTGACATAGCAAATTCAACAGATTTCTCCAAAAAAGAATCACTGAGTCAACAAGACAAACCTATTCTACCGGCTTTAGAAAACAAGGACAACAGAATGCAAGACTTGGTAGTAAAAGAGGCCTTAAGCCAAATGATTATAAATCAAAAGAGTTTCAGTGAAACAGAAAATGGATTTAAAATGTATCTGTAGTTATTTTTCAAGAAAACCCATCAAAGGAAAAAAATTAGTTAACTAGAATAAGGACTTCAGGGAGATTTAAACGTAGAGAAGACTTAGAACTTCGTTCTGTATGCTGTGAAAGAGCTATTCAGAAACTCAAGACCTAGGTAAGCGGGTGTGGGAAGGGGAGAGAGAGTCTTAAGACTCCAGGTCTAAGAGGTAAATAAACACCTCAAAAGAGTGCTTTACGAACACGCGAAGAATAAAACTGTGAGAAAAGAGACTGAGGGGGGGAAAATAAGTAAAGTTACTGTTCATTAGATGTTAAAGAAAAAAAAGAGAAGAAATTAAAGTCAGAAATCTCTGTATTTAAGACTCTGTCAAGAATATTAAACTAAAATGTCATTTACTACAGAGTAAAATGGGCTGAGAACAAAGACATTTCCAAAACGGGGACAGCAAAACCTCCGAGACCTTCCTGTACTCAAATAGGAAGAGTTAAATAATACTGTTCCTGTTACTTCATTCAGCAGTTTTTCTAAAATTCTGGGATGTGAAGTAAGGACTTAAACCAACATATTTTGTTTAGTTAGTATAGAGCAATCTGAGAACAGCAGATGTAATACTGTTCAGGCATCTCCAGGCTATTTCACACATACACAGTATTTCAGATGAAACTCTGAAGTATAAACAGAAGTGTTATAGCTTACTGAGCCATAATTTTACATCCTTGATAGATCCCTGTTTCAAAACACTAGAACACACAGAGCAAGCTGCTATTTTCAGAAGCAAATTTCTGCAAAGTAACATGTAGCCCAGGAGAGTCCACCAAACACAAGTCATCCAGAGGAAAATGGCGACTGCCCCAATTAAAATCTAAAGACTTTTGCCGTGATCAGAAAGGATCTGACAAAAATAAGCAGCTGTAAAAGAATCGTGCTGTGTACGTACATACTGTCGACTAACCTTGGATTTCTCTCAACAGATCTTCTCAACAGCCTCAGGCTTAAAACCCTGCCACCTAAATGAAAAACTGGACATACCTACGGATAATTGTCGCTACAGAAAGCGGTGTTAAATCACACCACAGCAAAGGGAGTTCGTAGTGTCCTGACACACTTACCAGACCTCCTTCCAACCTCCCACTTTTCCAGTATTAGGCAACAGTAGAAGAGCAAGGCTATGTAAGAGTCGCCGCTGCTGCTTTTCAGTTTGCAACGCTTACCTGCAGCACTATGCCCTACTGCTACTATAAACCTCGAGCACGAAACTGGCTCTTCTGCAGCCCTTTCCGTCGACGCTCCCGATTTCAAGGTCCAGAGGACGTCGACCTCCCTACCAAAAGAAACGGAGACAACCGGAGCCCGAGTTGGCTACGGCGCAGCCAAAAAGCTTCGCCGCCGCCACCGGAGGCTGAAGGTGTCCCCCCCTTACCCGGGACA